CCAAGTTAGTATTTCTGGTGTCAAAGCCAATTTATTTTTACAAATAGTCTTGTCTGTATTGCCCTTTGTCCTTTTATAGTATAGTGCATTTGTCTCACTTAAAAAAAAAAGGATTGTTTACATAAAGGCTGATAAATTCGTGAATATACTGACTATAATTTTTTAAAAGGTCAGGGGGGAATTATCATACGACTGGATGCATATGAGCTTAGCTTTGTTAATGGAAGTCCAATCATCCACACACACCCGCCCACCCACTCCACACTAGGAAGTTAAATCTCTTCGGAAACCTTACAAATTTGTCTCTATACAAGAATTAATTGTTGGGGGATTCAATACTTCTGCGTAACTCGTACACTAAATTATAGTTACTGATAGTAATTATTTTTTATTTGCAACGAGAACTAGTATACAATGTTCTCTATTTCCTACATATCGATACAAATTATTCAGAATTGCCTGTTCTCCACAGTTAAACATGATGACAGAATGTACAAAACTTATATTTATTATTCAAAATTACGACTCTGATGGGAAAACCCCTCCGATTATGGATTACAAATATGTGGTTTGCATTGGAACACAGAAACCAATTTAATTGATATGATTTCCATGCCATTAACAGTCGTTAACATGTCTCAACTATTTCACTTCATATGCTGAACACTTCGGGACATTCCATTTTAATCCAAGGGAGGGAACATGACTATTTTATTGACATCCGCAGCCTATCAGGAACAATTGCAGAAGCAATTAGATTGATTAGCTAAAATATACGAAGTCAATCGTAAGAATAAATGCTAAACCATTATCCATTTTACTTTATCTTTCCGGCATACCCTTTACTTGAGATGATTATGTGAAAATGCACGACACGTTTGAACTTTAAAAAGCTGGGATTGGAATGTACTTTCCCGTGACTAATAATAGGCTTGCTGTTTTCGCACACATCAGAGTAAAAGTGATATGCCCAGTGTGTAATATTTGTTGAAACTATTCTTAAAAATCAAAACTGCCTCATGTTGCTTTATGGGAAGCATCATCTCTGAGGGATAATGTATTTGGTACCCATATATTGTAAATACTTTATTTTAGCAGGGATTAATTTTCGCTGAAAAGACTTTTTGGGTGTTTTTGCATGGAATTTTATTTTCACTAATTTTGAATGTAATATGTAAGAAAAAAATATATATTCGCTGGATTTTTATTTTCAATCATCCATTTAGCAAAAATTGTGAAAAAATTAATTCTGAGCAAAAGTAAAGTATTCTACAGTAATAAAGATAAATATAAAAAAGTAAATATAAATTTGTAAAATTGCATCATAATCTTTGTGGCATTTCAACACAAAAGTTTAAATATTGTCACTGTGTTTCTACAATAACGTTGTTAGTGGCAACCTTTAATTAAGATTTCCAGTCATGAAAAGTTATACTTGCATCTGTTCTCCTGAGCATGTATAAATATATCTCCATCTTCCGTTACCATAGCAGCAAATCCCTTATTTATGACAGTCCCATCAGCATCATATTTTCTGCAGCTTATCTCAAATCCGTATGATTCCTACGTGTCATCTCATTACATCAGCGTCTCAGTTTTTACAACTAAATAAATGTCTTTGATAAATCCAAAATTACCATTAAAATTATTCTTGTTTCATAACTAAAAGCGGGTATTGGGAGATGAGTTATTATTGCGAGCTGATGACGGGTACTAACAACAATCAGAGTATTGCGGAAAAAGCCCATCTTCAAATCGCAAATTGGGGATTTTTGTGTGAATCTGAGGACTGTTTTTTGTGATGAGGAATAGGGCTTATGTCAATTGAGACATTAAATTATTGATTAAAATCAATTTACAAATTAGCTGCTTTGCCAAGATATAATATGGGGAGGGAGGGAGGGGGGGGATAATACTAGTGTGTTTGCTTGGTACATATTTGGATCAGTTCAAACCAAATTTAAATTTCCACTACTGAGTATGTTACTGCACCAATGTGCAAGGCATTATGGGAAATACTCTTCCATTCTAAATAGTATTATTATATAGTATATTCTATTATGTATATAATTTAATATTATACTGGGAACTTACTAAATTTTATTTAATTCATTTTTAAATAGTATTATGATTAGTATCAATGATAAACATGTCGCATGGGACCCACATCTGATGTCTGTTATGCCTTGGATTTCAGCCAATCACACTCAGTATTACAAAAATCTGACGGCCAATCAGAAATGATTTTGTACATGTTTTTAATAGAAAATTGAGAAGTGTCTTACAAACAAGCACTTGGATGTAAATATGTCGCATGGGACCCACATCTGATGTCTGTTATGCCTTGGATTTCAGCCAATAACACTCAGTATTACAAAAATCTGACGGCCAATCAGAAATGATTTTGTACATGTTTTTAATAGAAAATTGAGAAGTGTCTTACAAACAAGCACTTGGATGTAAATATAGTGCTGTCTTGTTCTAAAGCTGATTTTCCTGTGACAGTTCATTCACGTCATTGTAGCGCAAGTTGTTGAAAAAGAAATGAATCTTATTCCATCGAGTGGACAGCTTTTCTTTGATAATCGTCATTAGCGATGACAGTATGTGGGCGGTGTGACATTTCGAGTTAGTATGACTTGTAGTTTTCGTAGCTGCCCCTACATGACATTTATACATTTGCAGATACAGATAACAAACAACAAATCCATAGTTCCACTGCGGCATTACCATGGTTACCAAAAGCATAGTTGTGGAGATTTCTACAACAATTCCTCGGAAACTAAGTGATAAATAATCTTCTACATCCGTAAGAAAATATTATTTGTTGTCGTTTCAATTTACCAACAGGAAGGAAAAAAACAGAAAGGATTATTAATTCAGTTGCCCAGTACATTATGAATATTTTCTAGGGCAGAGCTAAGGAGCCCACATGTAACTGCTCCCCTAGTTTGATTTAAAAAAATACTTCAATTAATGTTATTTTAAATTATGCACATTTGTCATTGATTGAAATGGATAGTCTCATACCCCCCCCCCCAATATATATCAAAGTTGTCATATTATTAATATAATTATCTATAAACGTTTGAAGTGATTAGCTATATTTACTGTAAAACAACATTAATTTTAGCTAATTCAGATTATCTATAGTTTAACTAATTATGTTAGCCAAATGAAGATTCTTTTAATTCATGCATTAGGTCAAATTTGCTGATATGACATGTAGCAATTGAGAAGAGTTTTACAGTATATTATTTTTTTCTTTGAAATAAATAATTTAGTACATATCTTTTTAGTCAATGTTTTTTTGAAAGCATCATGCACAAAAATTGCAACGTTACTAAAGGCTGTGTTTGTATTCATAGACATAATCTCTTGGTTCCAGTAATTGTTAGGTGAGAATAAAATTAAGCCAGTTGAGGTTACAATAGAAGTTTAATAATATGAGGTTATAATAAAAAAACAAACAAACATTAAGTAAGCTTTAAGACAGCACAGTGTTTGTAACGACAGAGCTTGTAGTTATAAATTAATGAGAGATTACACCCGGAGATGACAATGACGATTTTTTGCGCTGTCCTAATGTTTACATTCAATGATATGATTATATTTTCGTCACATGCTTATAGCACTTCTACTTTCAATGTAGACAAAGAAAAGTATTTAAATATTTTATAAATAACTTTGAACGTGTTAGTTTCAGAGTTTACCCCATATAAAGGGAAATTTGAATTGAGCACTGTAAAATGACTAATTTTCACTGGTATTAAATTTCGCTGATTTACCTTTTCAGGCATATTCAGTAGGTTTTAAACTCGCAGTTTTATCATTCAGATAATGTTTTCTATGTTAACTTTTACATATTCACTGGGTGTTAATTTAGCGCATTTTCCAATCAGTGAAATAAGTAAAATTAAAACCCAGTGAAATATTAATCCTTTTACAGTAAAAGAAATGATTAACCGTTGTATGGCAGTAGAATAATTATTTTTTCCTAACTTGTTTTCACAGGCTGAGAATCTTCTGTTGGATGGCAATATGAACATTAAAATTGCTGACTTTGGGTTCAGTAACTATTATAAAGCAGGTGAACACCTCGCAACGTGGTGTGGGAGTCCGCCCTATGCTGCCCCAGAGGTGTTTGAGGGTAGGAAGTATGACGGGCCACGACTTGACATTTGGGTGAGTCTCGCTTTTTGTTTTTACCATCTGTGGCAGATAGTTGTATACCATTTTGTGGTGAGGAGCCCTCTCACTTATGGTGTAAAATATTGTGCCCTCTGGTGGCAGAGACTTAGAGTAGTTGTAGAGTTGACCTGTGTAATATTAACACTGATAATGCATTACGACCTGTATAATATTAAGGGCGATGTACTTCGACCTGTGCATTATTACAAATAATGCACTCTGACTTTATTACCAGTAATGCATTCTGACCTATGTAATATTACCAACAATGCACTCTGACCTATGTAATATTATCAATAATGCACCTTGACTTATGTAATACATGTATTACCAATATTGCACACTGACCTGTGTAATATTACCAATATTGCACACTGACCTGTGTAATATTACCAATATTGCACACTGACCTGTGTAATATTACCAATATATTGCACACTGACCTGTGTAATATTACTAATATTGCACACTGACCTGTGTAATATTACCAATATTGCACACTGACCTGTGTAATATTACCAACAATGCACTCTGACCTGTGTAATACTACCAACAATGCACTCTGACCTATGTAATATTACCAATAATGCACTCTGACCTATGAATATTACCGATAACGCACTCTGTCCTGTGTACATTAGTGGTAATGTAATTTTAATGTTGTCCATAATATTCATCATTTCCATTTGTTTTATTTTTTACAATTCATAGAGTCTTGGTGTTGTATTATATGTATTAGTCTGCGGTGCTCTACCCTTTGATGGCAATAGGCTGCACCAGCTCAAAGAACGCGTCCTTGCGGGAAGGTTTCGCATACCGTTTTTCATGTCAACGGGTTAGTATTATATAAACACTTTTTGTAAATACCAGTCAGTTAATATCAAAATCCTTTTATTATTTCCTGGTTTTTGGATTTATGTACAGGTAATTTAAGTCCTTAACTGAACTCTCTAAATCTGCTTTACAAAATGTCATGTTTTTTAATAGAACAATATTTTCATGAAAAAAAAATTATGTTTATATATAGATACATTTGTATTCCTCAACTGTCACCCTGCAAGTCAGTCTGCCACCCCTACGGTGTAATAGTATGTCTCACTTTTTTATTCATTTATTTATAGAATGCGAGACTCTAATCAGGAGGATGTTGGTTATAGATCCCGCTAAGAGGTACACCATAGAGCAGATTAAGAGACACAAGTGGATGTTGATGGACATGGGACGTCCCCGAAACCTTGTATTTCCCGATCAGATTCCCGACAGTACGCGAGGCGAGTATAACGAGCAAGTATTACGACTGATGCAGAGTCTGGGCATTGATCAGCAGAAAACAAAAGAGGTCAGTATATCATTAATATTGGACGCAGATATCCACCAATCAGAAGCCATTGCATGATTGAATCAATGAATAATTTAATTACTTAAAATCCTTGTCATAGTGACGCTCGCGAAAATGTCATCATGGCCATATCAAATCACGGAAATTCCTAGTGACGTAAATTTACAGTAATCTATTGTCTTGTAAATTATGTCAGATATGATAACTCAACGCATATTATAATGGCAATATGCATATATTCACCCGGACTTTATATTTATAATAACCTGCTGTAATCCATTTGAATATAATATAATTGAGTTTATAATAAATAATATCCTGACTTGCATACAATGTGTAATAATGACCTGCCTGTATTAATGACCTGTTGTAATAATGACCTGCCTTTTAATAATAACCTGCCTGTATTAATGACCTGTTGTAGTAATGGTCTGCCTGTATTGTATTATATTGCCAAGTACTGATTGGTGGTTATATTTTGTCTATTTTCAGTCGCTGAATAAAGAGGCTTATGACCACTACACCGCAATATATCATTTATTAGTGGAAAGACTCAAGCATCATAGGAGTAGCTTTCCAGTCGAAAACCGAATGGATGCAAGAAAACGTAGACCAAGTAGCATAGCAGAACAAGCGATGATCAACCACAATGCTACAACCAGCAACCACCGACCACTGCCGCACCAACATTCAGTACCATCACAGCCAACTTATTGTACAATGAGCTTTGGACCGCATCTGGGACCACAGTTAGAACAGCCTCCAGTAATCAGCTCTGAACGAGTGGAGAGAAAATTGACTCATCAAATGGCATTAAGCGAAAGCGAAAATGTGCCGATACCGCCGGGTGTTAGCGGCTCAATGCTGGATTCCTTGCCGATGCCGGTAATTAGGAAAGTGAGGTCTATGTCACCGCACACCATGATGGTGACGTCAATCGACGAGGGGGTGGAAGTTGATATGTCAGAACCAGAAAGTGATAAACAAACTGATAGCTACTGTTCGTATAGGAGGCAGACTTACGGTGATAGCTGCCAGAACTCTATTTCATCGGACACCAGCATCAATAGCTTTGGAACAGATAACGGATCTGTGCTGACAATTGACTCACAATGTGATATGGAACTCATGCAAACTCTTATGCAGAACCAATCTGGGGGGAAATTCCCCGCCCATGTACCATGCAACTCCCCCAACATGTCGCCCCCGCTCGACGAAATTCTGAACATGGACTTGAAAAGCACTCAACATGTTGGTCAGGATTGCCACCGTCTGTGCACATCCCCGATTAGTTTTCGAGAAGGTCGGAGAGCATCTGATGGTGTTCTTACTGCAGGTGCAATAGCATTCAGACAGCAGCTGAAGGACCTGACTCAAGTTAAAGGGGTGCTCGAACTTCATAATGAGCAAAATTGTTTACAAGACATAGGCGTAAACACTTGTAGAGATCGGCCAGTGTCGCCACTATCAACAATGACTGGGCACTATCAAGAGTTAGTGTCGGACACGGAAGAATTTAATTTGCAGCATCAACAGGGTCCAAATCAGCCGCAGACGTGGCGTCATCTCCCGGGTGAATCATTCCCAGAGAAACAGCAGCAGCTGATTGCAATGAATCGCAACATGCACACCGAGCCGTCATTCTTTGATCGCTCGCAAACCATTGAGGAACAGCCTCAGAACTTGATTGCTATGAAGCAGGCCAGTGCAAAGACGCTGCAGCAGCAACTGATGCAGCATCAGCTTTTTCAAAAAAGACAGGTTATGCAGAAACAGGCGCAGATGCATCAACAGTTTCAGCAGATGCAGTTGGATCTGAGGCATTCACCTACGTTGGAGCGTCGGCCACCCCCTCCAATGAGACAGGACTCATACAAACTTGCCCAACAGCACCCACTTATACCTCAGCTATCGATAGAAAAATCACCACACCAGCTAGCTATAGAGAACACGTCAGCTAGCGTTCTGAGACAAGACTCGTATGAGAAGGCTCAGCAGCATCAGGTGCTGCCACCGACGCCCCCACAAAAACAGAGTCTGGAGGAACTCGATGAAAGCATGGACACATCAGATGGACTTAGCAATCAGTCTGGCAACTCCCTCGTGGCATGTTGATGTAATTAGAACCACCAGGTCCAATAGGGACATTTCGGTAACATATGTTCACTCCTACGTAGGTCTGATACTGGTACTAAACCTACCAACCATGGATGAACGACACTCGTTATCCATGAATTAATATTGACCATGTGATGCACGAGACAAGACAAGGCGTGACGAGACATAGTGCTATTTAATGTCTATAGCAGTGTTGAAAGCTATGGAGTTGTGTAAGTGTATGCTCTCACCATTCTGAAAGAGGTGGCAACTAACACGATAATTTTAAATAGTGATTGTGAAAGAATCAACTGGTTGGGTGATAATGATAATCATACTCATTGCTTTGGCCTTGAGTAAATTTCTCTGCGGAAATAACAACGTCAATAAACCATGTGAAAGAAAAACATTGTGACATTTCAGAGAAGATGAATACATTCATGTGTGGATGATATCAGAAAGTTATTTGAATATATCTTCACTTTTTAATTGCTATTCAATATTTTTCAGAAGAATTTCCACTGGAACTGCACTGTCATCTTATTATGTAATATTAGAGATACACTTTGTAATTATCAATGATCTTTTCATTGTTTTTTTTTTGTTTTTTGGAATATAATTTACATATCAAAGTATCCCATCCAGCCATTTATGAAAAGTGCTCATATGACCATTTATGGAATCAGTGCTGCCATTTATGAAATCAGTGCTGCCATTTATGGAATCAGTGCTGCCATTTATGGAATCAGTGCTGCCATTTATGGAATCAGTGCTGCTATTTATGGAATCAGTGCTGCCATTCGTGGGGGCATTATTTCCATTCATGGAACAACTATGAAAACAATTATAACAACAAAATTGGAAATTACTATAAAAAAAATCAACAGCACTGAAATCAAAGAGAATCTTTCAAAATTGTTTATGGAAACCTTGGCCTAAATTTATCAACAAAATGGCAACACAAGTTTCAGATCAGGTACAGGCAAGAAGAACTATAATTGGTTGAAATCAAGGTGACCCGTAATGACACACATCACAGTATTGCGTAAATATATATTTTTAAACGATGCAATCATTGATTCAAGTTCAATCAGAAAACAAATCACACAATAAATATTGTAATTTTGAAATTTCATCCTTAAGTTGGAATTAAGAATAGAATGTAATCAAATAACTTCAATGCACGATTGTTAACAAGAAAGTGCAACTGCGCTTGTGTCAATTTTTCTTTTAACTGACAAATCTATCTTTTACATTGGTTTTACCTGTACGTACAAGTCAATTCAAAGCTACTTACAGGACTGTGTCTGATTGGCTATCAAAACACAACATGTAACAGTTGGACCAATCAGAGAGCAGCTTGTTTAGCACAGTGCATTTTAAAATGTTTGCTGCACATTAAAATGTTTGTCACACATTCAAATTTTTGTCGCACATGCAAATGTTTGTCACGCATTCGAATGTTTGTCATGCATTCAAATGTTTGTCATGCTGTCAAATGTTTGATGTACATTCAAATGTTTGCTACACATTCAAATATTTTTCATGCTGTCATATGTTTACTGTACATTCAAATGTTTGCTACACATTCAAATGTTTTTCATGCTGTCAAATGTTTGCTGTACATTCAAATGTTTGCTACACATTCAAATGTTTTTCATGCTGTCAAATGTTTGCTGTACATTCAAATGTTTGCTACACATTCAAATGTTTTTCATGCTGTCAAATGTTTGCTGTACATTCAAATGTTTGCTACACATTCAAATGTTTGTCATGCTGTCAAATGTTTGCTGTACATTCAAATGTTTGCTGTACATTCAAATGTTTGTCACACATTATTGGACTTGCAATTGTTAGTTGTGCATTCAAATGTTTTTTTGCAAATATCCATTGGAATATGATGATGCTAGATTATCATTATAGCGAACAACATCCAATGTTATCCATTGTTTTAAGATTTATTTAAGTAAGGTAGTTTACTACCTTTTAAAACTTATTGCCATATTTTCTTGACTTTTACCACATTAATTTAAGCTGTTCCCGAAATTAAAAATGTTAATGAAATATTCTTCAACCCCAAAATTGGTAAGACTCCCATGAATATGGGAATTTATCATTGGTTTCTATTGCAGAAAAAAAAGTTCATCTCAAACTTTTATTTGAGTGCTTATAGGGAAAAGATTCGATGTAGTTTTCTGATTGGTACTTATGGTTGTTCCGAATTATTCTGATAAATACTATTTATTTTTAAATGAAATAATGCTTTAATATGAAGTTTTATGGAAATTGTTTCACTTTTTGCAAAACTGTTTTTCTCTCATACTTGGTAAAGAAAAGAAAAAACGCCCCAAATTGACGACTTAAGTCTAAATCAATAATTATATTGTTACACTTCTGAAACAATTTAGTAATATTTATTGTTGACCAGATATTATTAACTTCGGGTTTCAACCGGGCATTTTGTATTTTAGTGGAGCTGTGAGAGAATATGAGAGATATATCTAAATATATGAATGAAGTATTTTCATTGCACACAAAAAATAAGTATGCTCTTGGCTTACAAATTGAGCACGTTATTATAAACTTTTTTTTTATCTTATTTATTGTAATTTGAAGTATATTTATTTCAAGTATATTTGATTCATGTAAAATATTATAATGTAAGTGTTATTTACATTTTTTTCAAACCTACCAAAAAAGCTTATTTCATAATATTGATACAGCCCTATAGTACATACTATAATATTGCATGCTATTGAAACAGACACAGCCTCGTCTGCACTGGCTTCACTAATGTAGTCAATCTTGGCAAAATACTGACCATTACATGACCACTTAAGTTAGTCGTTTGTATTTACATTTGAAAACCTTAGTCTTTCTAAATTGATCAATGCCCTCCATGTTTGGTAAAAAAAATTGATTAATCTAAAAAGAAGGCCCCTTAGGATTGCATTTTATCATTAGGTGATACAATAAGCCCTCTAAGTTAGTCTGCTTTATTAACTAGTGGAGCTAAAAAAAATATAACTGGAACCCCTAAGCTAGTAATTTTGAAAAGATAGAATAAGAGCTTTGTTTCAGTGACCTGTTTTTATGACAGGAATAGTTAGGATGTCGTGCACTGAAACCACACTGCTGGAGATTTCACCTGTTGCACATTGGTAATGGGACATTTGAATTTACATCTTACTTCAAGTAACTTCAGTTAAATAAATAAAAAAAAAAAAATTACTCAACAAATTTGGCAGTGGGGGTAGAGTCAAGTGCAGTTCATATAATTTAAAAGAAAAATTATTTTTTTGAATATCTGTTGGACCAATTATTATATCTTTATGAATTAAAAAAAAATCCCTTCCTTTCCAAAAGTGGTTATCAGGTGATCTTTCCAGTTCAGCAGAGGTACAAAGCAACGACATCAAAAAGTTTCTAAAAAGATTCAACCAGGCTGGTCCTAATTTGAGGTTCATTTTTCTGGAAAAAAAATTGTTATTTGTACCACCCACCAGTTTGTTGCTGCCAGTTTACTATTTTCCGGTCAATTCGACTGCCAGTATCTTTGTTAAAACACCCCTGTCACAGAATGGTCTATTCCATTAAGGAGACCTCATGTGCAAAAAAAAAAAACCTCTACAAATAGTTTCATTTCAAATGACAGCAATATGTGGGTGTTTAAAGGGACACAAACTCCCTCTGATTTTGCACAATGTATATATGGGTTGAATGACCTGTTCATTGCACAAGAAATACAATTTTGTATCAATGAAACTGTCTCAGTTGTCATTCTTTGAATTATCTATATATGTGTGGGGGGGGGGGGTCACCTGCGCACGCGCGGGAATCTAGTCCCAAGCGACGATAACAACACGCGCTAAAAACGCGAAGGCGCATGGGTAGACGCTTGTTTGTAAACAATGACACGCTATGGCCATCTGACGCATGAGCAGGTGACGACTCCCTTGCTTTAAACGAACATGGGATGTTTGATATGGGGTTGTATACAACGCATGTAAAATGCATTGTTTACACAAAATTAAAACATGCTTGTATTTTGTATTGGCTGACTGCTCATTCAAAATTAATGAGGATTTTTAATTGATTATTTATTAATAGGGACTTATAATTCGTCCGGAGTCGTATTTCAAAAAAAAAAATCTGGTCATTCTTTGCATGTGCCCAGTACTTTACCTGGGGCATATGCACATGATTCCTGATTCAACCCTAGATGGCCGACTGGCAGCCATTTTGTTTTTTTGAAAATGTAGTATCTCACGCATGCTTTGTGAATTTTTGTTCAAATTTGGTACATACATTGTACATTTGTGATTACACGTCCATGACAATTTGTTTCAACTCACTGACGGGTGATAGTAAGGATCTCTGGCTTGCAGGCTCGCAAAATCTTGGCCAGATCGTAGTCAAGTTTTCAAAGTATACGTCGAATCTCAAATTTAAAGTTCCCAAGTGCAATCTTCCACATCTTCAAATCTTTGCATAACACGTGGATTTGTGGTCTGTAAAAGTCTGTGAAGTTACCTCTCTCCAAATACATGCTGAACTTATCTAAAGCCACGGACAGGGCATCTTTCTCTTTCGCAGAATATGTTTATTTAAACTGAATAAGTATCCATGAAACACGCACGATTACATCATACTTAGTGCGAAAATTGTTCCCAAAACTGTTATCAGCTCCAAATGTAAATTTAATGATGAAACTGGAGTTTAGGTATTGAATTGGAGTTGTTTTATGGTCTTGATCAAAAGTTTAGAAACTTGCAATGGCCTTTTGTTAGATCAAGTGCTGTAACATGCTCACTCCTAAGCTGTCATCAGTTCCAGGAAACAAAAAAAAAGAATCAGATGGTTTTCAAGCTTTTCTGCACTAACAGCTCTACTCCAGGAATCCAATAGTAAAGTACATGACATGCTGGCTGACTTGCAGGTGGAGAATGACTTTCACCGTCTGCTTAAAGCGCGGTGGTCGTCGCTCAGCGCGTGTTCGAATTTCATGTAAATAAACAATGTATTTTACACGCGTTGTATACGTCGCTATGAGTCCCATATCGAACAGGACGCGGCGCGACCACCACCGCCCTTTAAGCTTATTCCATATCCACTGAAGATGCATCTGCATATGGATTAATAAAGGCAACATTTTCATTAGGATGTTATAATGTCAGTTTCATTTGGGAAACAAACATGACATCTTGTAAACTTAATCAGCTCTAGTTTTTCCGGGGGCAATCTGTTATTATATCAGCTCTCCTACCAGTCGTGAATTAGTCAACTCTGTGCTACCAGCTGCTATGTCACAGTCAAGGCGAAGAAGATTTGTCATATGCATGCACCATGCTCACGAACAGAATCAATAACACTGTCGCATCCAAGCTCCATCCGCGCGAATCCTTCTAATCCAACAGTTTCAACATGTTCCAAGTTTGATCGATTTCACGAGTAACCTTTTAAAGCGCGGTGGTCGTCGCGCAGCACGTGTTCGAATTTCATGTAAATAAACAATGTATTTTACACGCGTTGTATACGTCGCTATGAGTCCCGTATCGAACAGGCGCGGTACGACGACTGCCGCCATTTAACTCTATACATCTGCCTTTGCAGTACGCTAATTATCACTGCTGCCCTATACTACATAAAAGAGGAGACCATTACATTGTAAAGATCGCGTTATCGCACACCTTTATTAGTCCCCGTTCGGACGTAGTCCGAAAACGGGGACTTATGGTTTGCCCTGTGTGCGTCCGTGCGTCCGTGCGTCCGTG